AGGGACCCGTAGGATCCTAACCATAGGGCCACCTGATTTGACATTATAACTTAACACACTAGATAACTCGAACTTGTCGCGGTAAGGAGCTTGGAGCTAGCATGGTGGGCAGCACGGCCATCTTCAACAGCAAAACCTGTCTTCCCCAGCTAAACCAATCTTCGTTACTTAGACTTAAACAACAAAGCCATAGGACTTCGAGGTTGTTTGCTTATGCAACGTAAATCCTCACCTTATCTTTAGACCTTTGCATAGCCCTGCTATACAATATAAGCCCTAACTCGTTTTAGGATTCCAAGGTTGTCGTTTGTCACGACTTAAATTCTCATATCTTCCAGACTATTTGTGTGATTGTTTCACACGAATGTCAGCCCTAACTAATAAAATTGACAGGATGAAACTCCTAAATATTTCTCCTCAAAATTGAAGTCAAACATTAAAATAGCTTGGGAAACCCATCACATACAGCGTCTGCCTGAAGGCTTTAAAATTGCGCAACAATGGCAAAAAAACCCTCAACTTGAGAACACCTAACCACATGAATTGCATAAAACAATTTAAATTTTGAACGTCAAAAATATAATTTTACAATGATAAGGCCAACAACGACTATCCAACTCTAAAGTGTAAAAGCCAAAATCCACCACCTAATTCCAAGATGAAATACAAATCAAAGAATTAAGACAAGATCCATCTCCCAAAACTGAAGTCATGTAATTAAAAAGTTCAACAGCCAAAGGAAGCCCAGCCGCTGTACCACATCATAATTTTGACTAATTAAATCAAATTTGCAGCACTTTCTTTACCACTTTTCACACTTATAGACGCTCAATATATATAGAATAGGGTATCGTTTAATGCTAAATTATTTATACCCTACATCAAGATGCTTCACATTTTATTGTTTGTGTCCAGCACTTATTTTACTTATGAGGTGTTTGCATTACATCTCCAGAGATGTTTGGGATTCTTTTGTGTGAATTTATTTATGAAGAATGTTTAGTTTTGACAAACCAATCCTCTTCACTTCTGGCCTTCACCCATTCTTGAGGATAACAGCCGAACTTCTGTTTTTTTATACATTTGAACTAACTGTGCTGTCACTTTTCCTGTCAAGGAAGGACCTTGGTTTCTCCAATATAAGGGTTCACAATTGTTGCAGTTTTTCAATTTATACTTCATTGACTGTAATAATTCCATCTTATGAATAAAAAATGTTTTCAAATGACTATAATTTACCTCAAGCAATAGAATAAAGTGCCAAATTAGTCCCCTCATTAATTACATATGGTCATTTTCGTCCTAGAGTCCACAAATGTGTCAAATTAATCCTTAATGTGCTTAAATAGTCCACATGGAGGACTATTTTAGTCCTCATTAAAAGAGATTGGGGACTAAGTTGGCATTTTTATAGTTTATGGGATTAAAATGAACCTCTATAAAGAGCCAGAGGACCATTTTGGCGTTTTTCTCTTAGTCAATATATCGTAAAATATGGACAGTGGACATTAATCTTTGCTGTGCAGAGAAAACTACTAAAATTGTGAGTTATTTCTCAATTTTTGATGTAAAACCAAGCTAAACGGGATTCTTGCAAACTATTTTCTTTATCCAAGTTATAACTTGAAAGGTAAATTGATGTAATCGTAATTCGGGCATAATAATTTATGCTAATTTGCATTGATAAGCAGAAATGTTGAGATGGCTACATGTGGATTTTGGAAGATTAACAATGTATAGTGGGTTGGTTTTCTTATGAATTCATGTTCTGTACGTTTCAGTTTTATTCTTCTATTTTTCAAAGTTATGCACTAACTTATGTATTTTTTACATTTTTTTTTTGCTCGATTCCTTAATTAGTGAACTAGTAAAACTGTGACGTGGACTTTTATATATACATGTTTAGAACTTTTATCTCTTAGCTCTTGGGTATTGTTTATGAAATTTTTGAGGTTGATTGAGGGTGGTTAGGTAATAAGCTCTTTGCTAAACATATCCACAGAAATATCTCTTTTTCCTTCATGCATGCAGGAGGTACAAAGTTTGCAAATTGCTTTGTCTGTAATGAGCGTGGACACCTGAGCAAATATTGTCCTAAGAATACTCATGGAATCTATCCGAAGGTATGCAATTTTGGTAGCAGAGACTTTATGAGCTTGAGATTTTTATGCCATATTAGCTTGCTGCAAGTAATTGAAAATGTATGATAACTAGCTATTTTCAGCATATTAACATTTTTATTTTATGCTGTAGAAAATGGCATTGTTATACTCTTAATTCTACTTAAGTTATCTATTGGGCTCTATTATTTCAATGATTGAGTTATATATAGTCTTCATTTTTTTGGTGTCTTTCTCTTCACTATTATAATTTTTAAATTTCTTCTATATGCTAGATTGAGTAAGAAATATTCAATTCTGAATGGTGTAATGCCTTGATGAAATTCACTTTTTGAATCACTACAATTAATTTTGATGCAAAGCAAAGCTGTGTCGAATTTTTGTGTCTTTATGTAATATTTTAATGTTAATGGAATACTGAAAGAATCTTGAAATTTTGGAGGAGCTGGATGTGGATATTTGTAGTGGACTTGTAAGGCAGGAGTTGAGCAAAGGTTTATTGAGCTCAAGTTAAACCATTTGGTGGGTGTTTGAGAATAAAGAAAAGGAGTGATCTTGAGCTTGATTTTAGCTTCGCCTCAACTTCGAGCTTACTTCATTTGCAGGAACTTCCATCTTTTGAATTGTAGGGAGTTATAAGTGCTGACAATCTTTGGTAGGGGAGGAAGTGTGAGGAGTCGATTGAGGGGTTTGTGGGGAGGTGGAAAGGGTAATATATGAGAAAAAGCAGTTTTGTAGAGACTTTCTTCAGAGTGAAATATGATGGTGGAGGCAGATGAGTTGAGTCGTATGGCACGGCTATGGGTGGTGTGGATCCTTTTAGATGATAAGATGGAGTTGGATCACTTTAATTTATTTAGTAAATGAAGTGATAGGGAGAGATTGAGTTAATCATGTGATGCTGGAAGAATAAAAAGAGGAGGTGAGAGAGGAGGAATTTGGGAGAGGAGGAAGAAGATGCATGAGGATGAAGGGGGAGAAGATTGGAAAGTAGTAACTGACATGCAAGTTCAAGAAGTCGGATGATGGCGAGAGATGATTTTTTTTCTTTGAATATTACGTTTTAGCAACAAAGTATTTTTTCTGGAAAATATGTCTCATTTTGATTTTCTTAAGACCTCATCCACCAATATAGGATAATAATGATCGGAGCATAACATATTTGTTTACCACTAGTTTTGTTTTATTTTATTTATTATTTTATAATAAGAACATGACAATGATTGTGATCTTAAGAGGAATTTTTTTCTTTTAATTTCATAGTAATAGTATGTTGATTCATATGATATAACTTCATTTTAATTTAGGTTCAATTTTAGTTAACTGTCTTACTGGATATTCTTCTTTTGGAAAGCTAAGGCGGCTGCTGGTCTTAAATTGATGTTAGGCGTAGTAGGTTGGGTGTCTCTTTTGGGTGATTGAATATGTATTCTTTTTCTTTTTTGGGCTATGATTTTTGGCTTATCTTCAGGGATTTTGTTTGGCGATGCGATGCAATTTTGGTTCTAGCTTTATCTTTTTTTTGGTTTGCAACATGCGATTTACGTTTGAGTCATAGCTTCTGTAGTTTGTTATAGTATCCTCCAGTTCAAAGGATTAAGGTATTTGTATGCAATTTTCTTGCAGGAATTTTTTTTTTGTTTTGTTTTATTTTATCCAATGACTTGCATGCAAATTATATATTTTGTTTGTGTAGGCTAACTGTTGACTTTTAAGCTTTACTTGATTAATTTAATAATTTGGGATTTTAATTTAATTTTGGATTGAGTTGTTTTTATATCTTAACTACTAGCCTAGTCAATAAATCTTTTCCTTAAATTATTCATTCCTTTTAAGTCATTACCTATCATGATAATGCCATTAAAATAAATAGCAATATAGCAATGAAGGCTTAAGCATTGCGATTATTTTGCAGAAATACAATGATGAACGTTGTAATAATAGCAAATGTTTACGACAATGCAATGAAGATGAGTGTAATAATGAAAATATTTATGGTAGTGCAGTAGCAAAGGCTTCTATAATGAGAAATAATGCAATCATGAAGGCAATGGTTATGTTTCAATCGGGGAAATGAAATATAGTATACTAATGAAGGCTACATGATTGTGGTAATTGTCGGCGCTTAAAAGGGGAAAAAGTTTTTAAATATTTGGGGGTCGCCCGTAAGAAGTTGTCGGTCGCCG